ATGATCTTGGCAGACTTGGGTGTCTTTAACGGGTTAGTAGTTAATTAAATTTGGGGACTTTATCTTGTATGGGTTCTTTATCTGGGATTGCATAGAAGTAATAAAATTTGAGTGAGGAAAACTGGTAAATAAGGTAAGAGATTCTGTGGGAGAGAAATCCATTCCTGTACCAAACTTTGCTAGTACTCACAGTGCATATACTGCTGTAGTGGTAGAGGAGGGATCAGCAGAGAACCAGGTCAGACTCCCTCCTCCTAGAGGTGAGAGGACACTTTTTATTTCTTTTTCTTTTTCTTTTTTTTCCATTAAGACAGGGTCTTGCTCTGTCACCCAGACTGTAGTGCAATGGCGTGATCATGGCTCACCCCAGTCTCTGCTTACTGGGCTCAAGTGATCCTCCGCCTCAACCTCCCGTGTAGTTGGGACTATAGGCTCACACCATTATGCCTGGCTGATTTTTTGTATTTTTGGTGGAGACGGGGTTTTGCCATGTTGGCCGGGCTGGTCTTGAACTCCTGAACCCAAGTGATCCTCCTGCCTTTGCCTCCCAGAGTGCTGAGATTATAGGTTTGAGCCCCTGCACCTGGCCTGGGACATGGTCTTATGTGAGACAATCAACACATGTATGAGAAGTTCTAAAAACCAAATAAAGCAGGGAAGGGCCTAGATAAAGAGAGGAGGGGCTGTGATTAATGATGTGGTTGGGGAAGGCATCTCATCTCTTCAGACAGTAAGCTGCACAGGTACGTGGTGAGTGTCCAGATAGAATGGCAGTGTAAGGCAGAGTGACCAGAGGGGACAGTGATAGATGAGGTCAGAGAGGGTGGCGGGACCTATATTATCAAGGATCCTTACAGGCCATGGGAAGCATTTAGCTTCTCTGAGTTGTGCAAGAAACCACTGCCAAGGCTGTTGATTCACAATCAGAACGGTTAACTGGGTTGTTATGTGGACCTTGGGTTGTTAGGAAGTCAGTGACGAAAGCCTCTCAGGACGCTTCCATAGTCCAAGCAAGAGGCTCAGGTGATTCACACCACACTGACGATAGTGATGGCAGAGTTTGGGATACATTTTTAAGTGGAGCTTACTAGTCAATATTAGGGTTTAGACTGGTATATGCTCATTTTAGATCATGAAACCTCAAGAAGATTCTACTTGATTAGGAAGACTGCTGGAAACTTTTAAAGCACTTTAAGCATGTGCTCAATAAGCAGGGTAATTATGTAGTGGCCTTTGTGGATCAAATGGTTTGGGAACATGGTGGAGAAAAGGAGGGCGATAATATGGTTTGATGTCTATGTGGTACCCAGTAGCCTACACATAGGCCAAACGAAGACCTATCACCAGGTACTGCCTAGGTTCTAAGCCCTAGAGTGTGGCTGACATCTAGGAAGTTAAGAAGAAAAGGAAGAAGTGCCTTGGGTATGGGGTAGCTCTGGGCTGCAGCACCCTGCCTGCCCCTCTCCTGTGGCCGCTGAGGAAAGCTGCTTTCCTCTAAAGACAGAAGCTTCATGTTCAGCTGCACTTTTTCTTTCCATGTTTAGGTGATTCTGTAAGCTTAAAAATTCTTTTTTCTTTCAGGCACATAGCAGTATTTCCCTGCAAGATGAAAATACTCCCTCAGTACATTTTTAATTCTCGAGATCCGATAGTGATGGGGGTGACGGTGGAAGCAGGTCAGGTGAAACAGGGGACACCCATGTGCGTCCCAAGCAAAAATGTAAGTTTCAGTTGCACATTTCGTTTCCCTCCTTCCCTACTAGACACAGGTTAGAATTATTGGAAAGACACCCATACAGGTGCCTGCCTCTTGCATGACCCAGGCTGCATCACTGCTGCCGATGCTCTGATTCCTTGGGGAAAGTGCTCGCTGCCAACCATCTCCATTAGAAACTTGCCCCTTGGTAATTACTCCGTAATCTGTCTGGTACCTAGAGTTCCTCATGGACATCCTGTTTCTTGACAGCCTTTATCGCAGTGGTTCTAGTACCCATTGGCAAGCCTTGCTTAAGTCAGCTGTCAAATAGACAGTTAGAAAATTGTGGGTAACCCATCCCCCCCATCTCTTAGAAACAACCTCTCTTCCCACTGACTTTTTTATCGAGTTATCCCATAGACTCAGTGGTTTTTTTGATGTGTTATAATTCATTACCTTTATTCTTTTGATACTCAGATTATCCAGTGTGGTCAGAGGATTTAAACTGGTTCCTGTATCCTTGACACACAACACGCTGGAGCATCTTCTTTCTTTCTGGTGCAGTGAAATGTTTCAGCCTCACCTAGTACTTTCCCTGCCCCAAACTGGTTCCTGTAATGGGCAATGGCACTTAGAAGTTGTCATAGCTTCTCTACCATTTCAGTGGACTAATCCAGGACATTTATTTGTGGTAATTATTTTCTATGTGGCTTTGGCCTCCTAAACCAAAGCTCTCCCTGTTTTCCCTCTTAGTCTCTTGAATGTTTTTCTCCACAAGGTAGTCAAGGTTTTTTCCCCAAAACTCTGAGATCACGTCAGTCATCTGCTCACAGGCCATCATTCTTTAATTTCAGGATGAGGTCCTCAATATGACTTCATTCCCACCAGTCACCTCAAGCTCGTTCCTGACTCAGACCCTCTGTCCCTGTTGATCCCTCCTGTTAGGACACCTGTCACATAAAACAGTACAACAAAAATAGAAAATGACATTGGGTCAACAGGGCACTTGTAATGTTTTGCAGAGCGCATTATCTCCTGTCACTCTTACAACATGTAAAGGGAATAGACTGTGTGGTGGTGCAAGCCTAATTTACCAGATGAGAATGCTACACTGTGAGACATTAAGTGATGAGTGAAGGATCGCACTGCCATGACTTTGAAAACAGTCTCTTGTGCTCCAGTTCTTACTTCAGCTATCCAGTCATGGATCCTGTGATGGGCATGAATTCTCCTGCATGCCCCTGTAATTTGTTCTTATTTTACAGTTTGTTGACATCGGAATAGTAACAAGTATTGAAATAAATCATAAACAAGTGGATGTTGCCAAAAAAGGACAAGAAGTCTGTGTAAAAATAGAACCTATCCCTGGTGAGTCGCCCAAAATGTTTGGAAGACATTTTGAAGCTACAGACATTCTTGTCAGTAAGGTAAGTATTTCAGCAAATATGGCAGAAGCTCCTTGGGCTTCAGGTTGATTGTAGAATCTGATGGGGCTGGATCCCCCATTAGGGCTTGATCTCTAGCTGGGCCTTGGCTGATGAGGAAGTTGCCCCATTAGGAAAGCAGCACCAACAGAGAAACAGCTAGGACTTTTAGGTCCCCTTGTGCCTGACATGCCAACCAGATGTGATTTTGGAATTCTAGTCCCCTAGGCAGGCAAGCCCTGTTTTTATTTCTGCTTAAGCTTGATTAAAGTGACAGCAGGCATCTGGGGCCACAGATGTTTTTGGTACTTTTTTCCATTGTGTTTACCCTGTTGGTGCCTCGGGCATTGCAGATCAGCCGGCAGTCCATTGATGCACTCAAAGACTGGTTCAGAGATGAAATGCAGAAGAGTGACTGGCAGCTTATTGTGGAGCTGAAGAAAGTATTTGAAATCATCTAATTTTTCCACGTGGAACGGGAACTGGAGAAAATGCAATACTGTGTTGTAACATCCCAACAAAACAAGACAAAAAATGGAACAGATGTATCTGGACACTAATGGACTTAAATATGGAAGGAAGAAAAATAGGTGTATAAAATGTTTTCCATGAGAAACCAAGAAACTTACACTGGTTTGACAGTGGTCAATTACATGTCCCCACAGTTCCAATGTGCCTGTTCACTCACCCCTCCTTTCCCCAACCCTTCTCTACTTGGCTGCTGTTTTAAAGTTTGCCCTTCCCCAAATTTGGATTTTTATTACAGATCTAAAGCTCTTTCAATTTTATACTGATTAAATCAGTACTGCAGTATTTGATTAACCAAGCTTCCGCAGAGTTTGTGATTCTTGGGACTTTTCTGATGTCAGAAATACTTCTTTATTTATGCATATTCTTCCCAGCAGTCTTCTGCCATATGCCTTTAGGGCTTTTATAAAATAGAAAATTAGGTATTCTGATATTTATCTGCTTCATGTGAAACCATGGTGTAAAAGCACAGCTGGCTGCTTTTTACTGCTTGTGTCGTCGTGAGTCCATTGTAATCATCCCAATTCCAAACCAAACTACCAATAAAGAAGAGACATCGATCAGTAAGCTCCATTAGGCTTCCATGTTAGTGTAGCTTCTCTCCCAAAAGTTGTCCTCCTAGGACAAGAATCATCTTACCAACAATGGTCACATTACCTTGAATGCCAGCACCTGGTAACAGTAGAGATTTTTATACATTAATCTCGGTGTGTTTTGTCCTAGAAAATTCCACCATGCATACATTTCCTGATATTTGGGCTTAGTGCTTCTAAATTGTAGCAGGCAACCCTTAATGATTCATTCACGTAGTAATCTGTTGCTAGTTTTGTGGCTGTTTTGAAGTCAGTGCGGGGTGTCTGAGGAAAAAGTTCCAAATACCCACTAGCATAGACTTTTAAACTATATTTTTATTTTAAAGTCACGGCAAAACATATAGCATAAAAATATTTTATATACGCTTGAAAATCTATACCGTTCCTTTTTATCATCAAAGTTTCTCAATGGCCAGTAGAGGCAAAGACAATACCACCTCTGATCTGTGGGACAATAATGTTCCCAGGAAAAAATCTTCAAGTGGGTGTGAGGGTGTTTCTAATTCAAAATATGTAGATTTCTCCGCATGGAAGAAGTAAAGATTTTCTTAACATGCTCCTGTGTTCGTGCTTGGAGACAAGAATAAGATGGTTTAGAAGCTTTACCCTTTCTTGGAACAAGTAGAATCCCGGTCTGAGACCTCTCAGGAATTTCAGAGCTTAGCAGTCTGGCCTGGAGGTTTTTCAGCCTTTTAGGATAATAAACAGTAGTTGCTTCCTAGAGTTGAGTTTTTAAGGATTCACAAAAAGGAGCCTGTACAAAATATACATACAGTTCTTTATTAAACAACTGTAAACACTTCACTGTAAAAATCCATAAAACTTTATAAACAAACATTTTGTAAATAGAATCTATGCTACAGTAAAAGAATTAACACAACTATTTACATGCAATACTGACAAATTTGGCACTTTTTGAAAAGAAATATACAAAACAGTTGCTTTAAAAGAAATTTAAAATTATAAAAACTCCGAGCATTACTATCATGCACTTTGCAAATACCTCACAAGCACTTATGGCACAGCTATCGGAGAGCATCAGGCTCTCTGGGTATATTTATGTAACTTTTAATGTGCTTCCATAAGTCTGTTGTAAAACCACCTGAACATTGTCAAGAATAAAGTCAAATGCCATATTCCAAACCGATTCCACCGATTGCTGCATCAACCTAAAGGTGGGGAGAAAAGAAACATCATTAGGAAAGGTCCTTAAAGACTATTCCTTTTTACATATAAAAATTGACTTTGGCCAACAAACAAAAAAAAAAATCCTGGCCGGGTGCAGTGGCTCATGCCTGTAATCCCAACAATTTGGGAGGCCAAGGCGGGCAGATAAGCTGAGGTTGGAAGTTCAAGACCAACCTGGTCAACATAGTGAAATCCCATCTCTACAAAAAAATACAGAAATGAGCTGGGCATGGTGACACGCCTGTAATCCCAGCTACCCAGAAGGTTGAGGCAGGAGAATTGCTGGAACCCAGGAGGCAGAGGCTGCAGTGAGCCACTCCAGCCTGGTGACAGAGTGAGACTCTTGTCTCCAAAAAAAAAACAAAATTCCAAAACACCCAAGAAACCATTTTCTTTTTTTGAGACAAGGTCTCTATCAACCAGGCTAGAATGCGGTAGTGCAACCATGGCTCACTGCAGCCCCCACCTCCCAACTGGGACCACACATGCCACCACGCCCATATTATTTATTTTTTGTATTTTTAGTAGAGATTGGATTATGCCATTTTGGCCAGTCTGGTCTCAAATGATCTACCCACCACAGCCTCCCGACATGTGAGCCACTGTACCTAGCCCACCTCCTATGCTATTTTAATCACATGTAAGAAAGACCTTGAACATTATACACTGCCAGTAATTACACACCAGAGTGACTCCATTACTCTTTATTTTCATTTTTGTTACATGCCGCTTCCAAGGCTCACCAGATGTGCTGGCTGACTGCTGGCGAGTGCTGTTCTCGCTCTGCCTTTGTCTTTGATCATATGCTGCTTTCAGCTCCCTTTGAAGTTCAGCAGGAAGGGCAGCAAATACCTCAGGGTCCACCCAGTGGAAAAGACAAGGTCAGAGTCAAACCTGAGCTAATTCTAGATGGTAACTGGTTTATGTTTTTCACAAAATAGATTTTCTTTTCAAATAATACTTTTCTGACCTTTACGAATTCTTAACAGGTCCCCAATTATCAAAGCTGGTTAAATCTTCAAAATGGTTAGAGCAAAAATAAGGAATTAAGAATACTAACTTAAGAAAACCCACTACAACAGCAGAACCACCAGGGTAAAATGCACTAGTAGAAAATGGGAAGCAAAACATTAAAACAGGAACTCAGGCTGTTACTGTCCCCCGTGTAGGATTATACATCTCCACTGTGCTGTATGCAAGTGTGGCCACTGATATGTTTGGGCCAGATCCATGTGTTTCAGTCTTACCATGCCTTCCCCAATGTCTTCCCTCTGCTGCTTCAGCAGGAAGCTGCAGATGCAGGAGATGGAGACAAGCCCACCCTCCCCTCCTCTCCCCAGCAGAAGAGGTGTAAGATACAGAGGAGAAAGGCAAGTGACACAGGGCCTGAACTGGAGCAGTGGGTGAGACTATTGAAACTACAGCAGAGGATCCCCCTATTTAACTTACCTGTGAAAATGCTGTAAGGGCTGTTCCATTTATTCCTGTGTCACTGTTCGATTTTTGAGGTTCTGGTATTTGCAACAAGACTGTCCCAACCGGTTGTGGCAAAATTCCTGAATTACAGCCATTTACTGGTTGTTTCTTTTTGTCACCACGTGATTCTGCTTGCTGAACAGCACAGACTTGCTCTACTTGTTCCCAGAGATCAGGTGGGAGATCAGGTGGAAGTGCTTCTAGAACAGACTGATCCAGCTATAAAATGCCGAACACAGAGTCTGAAGTTAAAGCATGCTCAGAGATGAGGTGTTGGGGAGTTGACATGCCACTTTAAATTTCAATTTGAACACTGGATAACCAATGTAAGGTACAGACCATCAAGCTACAAAAGGCACTTCCAAATAAGCACATTTTTGGAATGTCTTGGCCTTTTGTCACTGAAGCCTGAAGTAATATGCATAGTCTGGAGAGAAGTGTATACACTACCGGCCACTACCACGTGACCAGGTACGGCCGAATATACTCAGGGAATGACCTGCAATTGGAGCCAACAGAAATGAATAGCCTTGTTGAAGCTCAAACCAAATCCCATCCTGAGGAGGGGGGAAGGCCTGAGGCACATGTTAAAAGTCTGGACAGGTAACAATCCTGGGTCAAAAGTTCACTTTTCAGATGAGAGACCCCCTCCCCAAAATACAAATAATTGTACTCTGAGAATGGCACGCTAGAAGAAAGGGTTCTAGAAGCTGACTTTTCTCAACTTGCAGTACAGAATCCACTATCCGTTGGCCAGGACCTCCCTCCAGCTGTCCATGCACGTTTGGCCCTTTGGAAACATGCAATCCCATCAGCTGGGTAGGCCAATCTTATCTTGCCAGGAACAACTGGGGGTATCTGTCACCAGCAGCTGGAAACCAATACAACATGCATATCAGAATTGCCCCATCCCCTAGGTTTACAGCCAGTATTTAACATCTCCTTCGACCTCCTTCCATGGAGGGGCAGCAGGGGCACAAATAAACTTCCCAATATGGCTTAAGGTGCTACCACGCCAGCAGTACAGCCATGCCAGCAGTACACATGTACAGCCCATACAAGCTGAATTAAATTCCATCCCAGAAACCTGTTTGCAAATACTGCAAAAAAAAAAGCTTTGAAGTAAGGCCTCTACTTCCCCACTAATCACTAAAGCTGCCTTGCTGAATACAGTAAGTCTACACAATGACCACTGTCACAGACAATGGCAGTTCCCAGGAGGCCTGCCTTTCAACCATGCTTTATACCTTGCAAGAGCTGCAAATCTTTGCAAAAGCACTTTCACTCAACCCAATTATTGCTTACTTAGAATCAACATCATAACTTATCCTAACAAGTGGCCCTTTCTCCCTTTCTTAGGATGAAGAAATAAAAATACCATTTTCATTTGTAAATGACTTTTGTACTTATATTTAGGACCATAAAAGTGTACCTGGGAAGGTGACGGGACCTCTATACTAAGGTTAAGTCTTGACTGCACACTGACAGGAGAATGCAGACCATTCCATTTCCCTGAAGACTCAGTCTTGTTAGTATCAGGACTGATACTGGTCGGCAGATGTGCAGGAAAATGTGGCAAGAAAGTGCAAGTTCTAGAAGCAGGTGGTATTTCCAGATCCACAGCAGCCAGAAATACAACAAAGTGAAAATACAGAAAATACCCCCTTCAGATCACCGGGCAGGGCCTTTAATCCCTGATTTCCTCTGTCTATTGCAAATAAAATAACTTTATTATTGATTCATCATAATGAAGAATATAAGTATTTTTTAAATCACATAAAGCTGTGTCAATTTTAAAACCAACTTCCACCTTTTCCAAGGACATAAGCAGCACTTAAACAAGAACCACACTGATGACCACCAACCTTCTTTGTGCTCCTCTTCTGTGGATTTCATAGCTTTCTGAACTTGGAAGATATCACGGACAGAGTGTGACCCACGAGGAAAGTGGCTTGACTGAATCGATGGGCGACTGGGACATGTGGAAGTGTTCGGATCAGCTGGAACCAACTGATTAACGTGAATCCCAACCTAGAACCCAGAAAAAAGAGTGCTTCTAGGAAAACTAAAGTGAAAATATGAATTCAACAAAGCAAAATCCTCAGCAAATCCTTTTCACTATCTCCTAGATCCTGTTTATAGAATAAAGGTAAATCAAAGTATTCAGTCTTATATATGACTTATTAAAAAAACAATTTCTAGATTTTCATCTCAATCTTGAAAGTATCCAGTTCTCCCAAAATACACCAAAAGGGCTTTAAAATCAGAAAATCCAAACAAGTGGAATACAGTATTCCACTGATGTTCTAGTCAACTGAAGTTTTAAATTAGAATAAAAAAAATATTAGGACAATCTACTTGGAAACTTCACTATTTTTATCTTTTTAAAATGAAATACTTCTCAAAAAATATCAGTGGGAGTGAAGAACAGTACATACACCACAGATCCCTCCATAAAGTGCCATTGTAACAGTATTTCAGGTAGAAATTTCACTTATGGCTGGCTTAGCGACTCATACTTCCACAAAGCCCACATCAAGCCAAAACAACCCTTACTTACACATGCACACATAAAACTAAAGCTCTAAAGATTTTTTATTTTGGGATAGGCTCTCTGTTTCACCCAGGCTGGAGTGACTCATGCAACCTCTGCCTCTCGGGTTCAAGTGATTCTTATGCCTCAGCCTCCCGAGTAGCTGGGACTACAGGCATGCACCACCACACCTGGCTAATTTTTGTATTTTCAGTGGGGATGGGGGCCAGTTACAGTGGCTCTCACCTGTAATCCCAGCACATTGGGAGGCCAAGGCATGTGCATCACCTGAGGTCAGGAAGTTCGAGACCAGCCTGGCCAACATGATGAAACCCTGTCTCTACTAAAAATAAAAAAATTAGGTGGGTGTGGTGGTGGGCACCTATAATCCCAGCTACCTGGGAAGCTGAGGCAGGAGAACTGTTTGAACCCAGGAGGCTGGCCTTGACATAAAAAATCAAGGTTTCAGAGGACACTGTGGCTCATGCCTGTAATTCCAACACTGTGGGAGGCTGAGGTGGATGGATCATTTGAAGTCAGGAGTTCAAGACCAGCCTTATCAACATAGTGAAACCCCATCTCTACTGAAAATACAAAAAAAAAATTAGCTGAGTGTGCCGGCATACACCTGTAGCCCCAGCTACCTGGAAGGCTGAGATAGGAGGATTGCTTGAATACAGGAGACAGAGGTTTGCAGTGAACTGAGATCACACCACTGCCCTCCAGCCTTGGCGACAGAGCCTGACTCCATCTCAAAAAAAAAAAAAAAAAAAAAAGTAGGGTTTTTAAGTGCTTTTGCCAGTTTTCAGACATTACAGTGATTCATTCATCTTTTCACCAATTAAGTCTATACACCTAAGTAAATGAAGTTGCTCTCCTTCACCATCATTTTTATAGCTACTATAGTCTGTCTTTGTGTATCATCATTGTTATTTTCAGACAGAATCTTGCTCTGTCACCCAGGCTGAAGTGAACTGGCGTGATGTCGGCTCACTGCAACCTCTGCCTCCCAGGTTCAATCAATTCTCCTACCTCAGCCTCCCGAGTACCTGGGACTACAGCCAAACACCACCATGTTCATCTAACTTCTATATTTTTACTGGAGATGGGGTTTCGCCATGTTGTCTAGGCTGATTTTGAACTGCTGGCTTCAAGTGGTCCACCCGCCTTGGCCTCCCAAAGTGCTGGGATTACAGGCATGAGCCACCATACCCGGCCTGTATCATTGTTTTTAAGAACTACACTGAAATTTCCCTAAGGAATAAAGTTTCACCAAGTCCAAAAACTATAGCAGTCCCTTTGGTCTGCAGCCTTGCCCTTTCTGTCCATGCAGTAAAGTTAACAGCCTGAAGACCCCAAGCAAGGGCTGCCAAGGGCAGGAATGCTGTCAAACCAACCTCCATGGGGGTAGACCTGGCTGAAACCAAGTGCATTAACCTAAGTTGAATGCCTTGGACTGATGCCTGCTTCTCCAGAACGCCAGGTAACATGGGTTTACAGCTCTTTATTCAAACTCCTCCTTGGTTTTCTTCATTTTCTATTACTTATAACAACCTGTACTGAAATATAATTACCAATATCATTTTTGAGATGAGCTTACCTGGCAATGTTATCACAAATTCCATGGCCTCCAAATTTTGCAGTTTCTACAGGAGCCCCAGGCTTTCGTACCATGATTTTGAGAGTTAGACATGTACCCTTCATGCCAGTGGCTTCTAGTCTTCTTTGAATTTCTTCTGAAAGACTCAGAAGAAAAGCTTCTCTGCCTCTTTTGGCTATAGAAAGGCAAACATGAAGAAACTTCCATTCCACTTTCCTATGTACCTAATAATTGTTTGTAAGTATTTTAACTTTGAGTATTAAACATGTTGGTCACTCACTATCATGCTCAGCATCTATTAAAAAGAAACGTGGGCTGGCCACAGTGGCTCACGCCTGTAATTCCAGCACTTTGGGAGGCCAAGGTGGTCAGGAGATCGAGACCATTCTGACCAACATGGTGAAACCCCATCTCTACAAAAATATTAAAATTACCTGGATGTGATGGGGCACACCTGTAGTCCCAGCTGCTCTGGAGGCTGAGGCAGGAGAATCACTGGAATCCAGGAGGGGGAGGTTGCAGTGAGCTGAGACAGTGCCACTGTACTCCAGCCTGGTGACAGAGTGAAACTCCATCTCAAAAAAAAAATAAAGTGACTAGGCATGGTGGCTCAAGCCTGTAATCCCAGCACTTTGAGAGGCTGAGGCAGGCAAATTGCTTGAGATCTGCAGTTTGAAACCCTGTTTCTACTAAAAATGCAAAAACTAGCTGGGCATGGTGGGAGGCACCTGTATTTCCAGCTACTCAAGAGGTAGAAGAATTGCTGGAACCCAGCAGACAGAGGTTGCAATGAGCTGATTTTGCACCACCACACTCCAGACTGGGCGACAGAGGGAGACTCCATCAAAAAGAAAGAAGATGAAGAGGAAGAGGAAGAGGAAGAGGAAGAAGAAGAAGGAAGAGGAGGAGGAGGAGGAGGAGGAGGAGGAGGAGGAGGAGGAGGAGGAGGAGGAGAGGAAAATGTTTGGAATACCGTCAACTATTAAATAAAAATACCCACCTTCTTAACAAAGTAAAAGTAATGAGTACTTTAAAAGATATTTTTCCTTTCTTTTCTATGCCATCAATGACTTATTGAAATTATTTTGTAATTATGGTAATAAGCTATGCTAATAAAATATGTGTTCCAACACTGTGCTTATACCCCAACCATTCTCTATCTCCATGCCCAAGGAAACAAACTCCTGAGGTCCACAGTGTAGGAACGAGAGTATAATTAACTCATCACATTTCAAATCCTTATGATATGGTGTCATTTGTACATACAAATTCAAGACACTTCCAAATCCATAATCTGAAGGAAAATGGAAACGACTCAGCCATCTGTGCTGCAGCTTTCCAAAAGCATGCAAAATGAGGGGTTCACTGAAACTTAATTTTAACTACAGCTTAAAAAGCATTTCAACATTAAAAATATTTTTCTCATTTTTTTCACTGGAAATGAGAATAATTCTAATCTTGAGTTCTCTAAAAACAGGCCCCCAAAGCATAATCTTTTAGTATATTTCCCCAAAAGCTAGGTTTCCTCAGTCTCAATCCTATCTTAGGCTGTATCTTACCACACACTGCCTTAAAACACCTTCTGAGGCTCTGGGAATACACAGTTTTAAGACTTAATTTCAAGCATCAAGAGTCTTATGGTTTCATTAGAGAGGTAGGACTGTGTAAAAATATAAAGAACAACAGATGGTAAAATCTGTTCAATGATCAGTACCTGAGTAAACCGGATTCCATAGTTGATCTCAGCTGAAACAGATTTTCTCTCCTTCTCAGTTCGAACTGGTCTATCATCCAAGCCACGGCAGAATCTATAAAGCATCTGACCTGTTTTGGGACCAAATTCTTTCTGGAGTTTTGCCATGGTCATATACTGCAAGTCTCCATACGTTTTAATTCCTAAAGATGCCAACTTAGATTCCATTGAATGTTCAACTCCTAGGAAAGGGAATATATGTAGTTCTTTAAGTATGCAGAATAAGCTACTAATAACAACGGTATTAATACAAAATACCCACCATTTACACACAAAACAACTAATTTAAAATAATTTCTAAAGTCTTTAGGTGACATAACGGAAGCATCCATAGGCTGAAGAATTTTTTTGGTGCAAAATCATGCTAATAGGAGTATTTCTAGAATCTACTCCTCAATTTAGACTCCACATATAGATGAACCAGAGACTTTTAAAATATGTGTAACTCAAGTTATCAAAAATGTCACTTTCCTTATTAGTGAATAATATCAAAATATCTATCTTATTTACAAAATCAACTAAGAAATCAACCATCATTTAAACAAGTCTAGAGTGTGACTTACAGATACACTAGCTGACTCACAGAATGTAAGGGACTCTATCATGATTTCGGTCATCATCAAATTTCACAATGGTTTCAGCTGCATTTTTTCAGTGAAAAACAGAACAAGAATTCAAAAAATGGGCCCAAATCCAACAATATTACATGCTATCATCCTGAACAAAAGTAGTACCACTGACCTGAGGATGAAGGATCCTAAGCAAACCAACTGGTGGTTCTCTCTGAGGAGATATTAACCCTCCTACAGCTGGGCCAGCAGGTAGCAGTCCCTGTGTCCTATTCTGCAAGAGGTAAGGTTTGAGCCCCACCAGAAGGATACTGATAAACTCTGTTGCTTTAAGTTGGAGACTTGGGTTTCTTTAATTTGCCCTAAATGCTTTACAAAGGTATACAAATCTGGGAAAGAGGTTTGGAGTAACCTAAGGAAACTATAATGCTTATTAATATGGTTCCACACCATCAAGTAAAAATTTTGCATCAATGAGGAAAAGACAGTGTTGTGTTTCTGTTCTTCTGTAAGAAATTGTCAAAAGAGAACTCAGGCTGGGTGCAGTGGTCACACCTGCAATCCCAATACTCTGGGAGGCCAAGGCAGGATGACTGCTGGAGACCAGCAGTCTGAGTTTGAAGACAGCCTGGGAAACTAAGGGAGACCCTGTCCTATAAAAAAGAAAAAAGAATTAGCCGGGTGTGGTGGTACACTCCTGTAGTCCCAGCTACATGGCCGGCTGAGTCAGAAGGCTCCCTTGAGCCCAAGAGTTCGAGGCTGCAGTGAGCTATGAACCTGCCATTTCATTCCAGCCTGGGTGACAGAGCAAGACCCTGTCTTTAAAAAAGAGAACTCAGAGTGAAGTCTGCTAACTTCTGTTCATTGTTATTGTTATTTCTAACTCCTATCCTTCTTAGAGGTCTTCAGTAGCAGAACAACTATCTAGTCCAAGTTCTGCCAGGAAAATCTCTGGAACCAGTATATAACACAAGGTTACGAAGTCGTCAATGTGTGTCACACAAGTTTAAACCCAGATACTTTATTCCTTAATGGAAGTGAGATGAAAAGGTGTTAAGGGTGCTGGTTCACATTTGCGCCATTTTTAAATCCAAGCCAGAACAAAGGCCAAGTAAATACCAAAGACCCTGAGTTAACAAACAAACAAAATCTTCCAGAGAAGTACCATTCAGCAAAACATAACTATTTTACGTGAAACCTAAGTGTTTTCCAAAATGGGGAGGAGAAACACAAGGGAACCGACAAATCACGTACTTGGTTGGTCAAAGGTAGACAGACACTTTGCACAGCTATTTGCTTTTAGGAAAGGCTTTCTGCCTCCCTTTTTGTATATCTGTTTTGTCATAAACTTCTTAGCATCAGGGAAGACATTCTGTCTCTCTTTTTTCTTTCCCATTATTGCCTCAATTCCCACTCCCATAATCTGACCATGATCTTTCCCTTACAGTTCTGGGGAGCCAATCTGTTCTCAGGAACTTGCAAGATTAGCAAGAGACAATCATCGTTATGGACTGTGTTCGTGTGTGCAGGTGTTGGGGTGGATGGGCGTGGGGAGAAACCCATAGTTTTTTAGAGTATCTTTAGTATATTAGAACAAAATTATTATGCAGTACAGGTGTAAAGGAAAGGCTATATTAAACATTGCCAAGTTAAACATAATCAATCTAATCTAAGTGGAATGTCCCTCTAGGAAATAATCACAGCTCTTCTCTATGCAAGCTCATCTAGAGGAATGAAATGACCTGAACTGGAGGTGGGGGAGGGAGGCAGGGGGTGTGGTCTACCTCCAACTCCTATTACTTTTGAGTTGGGGTGTGAAAATTAAGCTTGGAGATAGGATCAAAAACTTGAAGAGAGCTGCCAGTTTTAACTAAATGCCTCAATTAAGCAGGTATTTCTCAGGTAAAGATGGAAACTCTATGGAAAAAGTTAAGGGGGCTCCAGGCCCAAACAGTGCAGCCACCTATTAAAAAAAAAAGGTGAAGAAAATATGCTCTTTTAGAACTAAATCTCAAAGACTAGGTTAAAAGTGGCCAATAATGTCCCCTCCTTAGCATCCAGAACTTGGCTATCCAATACAGACACAGAGGAGTAAACTTCAAAGAATAAAGTTTTCACCATCTACAGGAGCGCTGTTCAACTGAACTTTCTGCTCTGAGCACCTGAAATGTAGCCAGGGCAAGTGGGAAACTGAACTGGTAGTTTTATTTAACTTTAACTCTAAACTGTACTAACTTCACTTGGGTACGTGGCTCCTGTATTAGTGCAGATTTCATGAAACACCATTTCTTGTGCTCATGGTGGTTCTCTGAAAATGGGACAGAGAAGGAATCCATACACTGGATGCACAAACCCAGCAGAGGCTGAATGAGGTGCAGAGGGCCCTTCACTGAAGAGCACATGCATGGGTGAAAAGCCCTGCAAAGATCCAAAGAAAAAGGAGAAATCGCTCTTTATACTGTAACAGTTGTTGGGATCAATGCTTTCTTTCATTAGGTAACCAGATCACATTAGGTAACTTAACTGTTAGTGTAAGACATAGTTATTATTCTGTGGAGTAAAGCAAAAACTTACTGTTGTGTTTTCTCTTCCTAGGTAGCTATTCTAATTATTACTGTGCGCAGCACATATGTGGTCAATAAACATTTATGGGTACAAGGGGCTAAAGAGGTTGGAGATGGGGCAAGTTACCACCAAAATTCTCCTGGTTATGGGTTAGAGAAGCAAGTTTCCCCAAAGTATGTTCCACAAGATATAAGTAGGTACTGTATGTTTATCACCAAATATCTTTGAGAAATTACTAGTCTTTAACAAAGATAAACAGCTTTTTTTTTTAATTTTTTATTGGATTATAGGTTTTGGGGTACATGAGCAGAGCATGCAAGACAGTTGCGTAGGTACACACATGACAGTGTGCTTTGCTTTTCTTCTCCCCTTCACCCACATTTGGCATTTCTCCCCAGGCTGTCCCTCCCCACCTCCCCCTCCCACTGGCCCTCCCCTTTTCCCCCCAATAGACCCCAGTGTTTAGTACTCCCCTTTCTGTGTCCATGTGTTCTCATTTTTCATCACCCACCTATGAGTGAGAATATGCGGTGTTTCATTTTCTGTTCTTGTGTCAGTTTGCTGAGGATGATGTTCTCCAGATTCATCCATGTCCCTACAAACGACACAAACTCATCATTTCTGATTGCTGCATAATATTCCATGGTGTATATGTGCCACATTTTTCCAATCCAGTCTATTATCAATGGGCATTTGGGTTGATTCCAGGTCTTTGCTATTGTAAACAGTGCTGCAATGAACATTCGTGTACATGTGTCCTTATAGTAGAACGATTTATAGTCTTTTGGATATATACCCAGTAATGGGATTGCTGGGTCAAATGGAATTTCTATTTCTAAGGCCTTGAGGAATCGCCACACTGTCTTCCACAATGGTTGAACTAATTTACACTCCCACCAACAGTGTAAAAGTGTTCCTTTTTCTCCACATCCTCTCCAGCATCTGTTGTCTCCAGATTTTTTAATGATCGCCATTCTAACTGGCGTCAGATGGTATCTCAATGTGGTTTTGATTTGCATCTCTCTGATGATCAGTGACGATGAGCATTTTTTCATATGATTGTTGGCCTCATATATGTCTTCTTTCGTAAAGTATCTGTTCATATCCTTTGCCCACTTTTGAATGGGCTTGTTTGTTTTTTTCCTGTAAATCTGTTTGAGTTCTTTGTAAATTCTGGATATCAGCCCTTTGTCAGATGGGTAGACTGCGAAAATTTTTTCCCATTCTGTTGGTTGCCGATCCACTCTAGTGACTGTTTCTTTTGCCGTGCAGAAGCTGTGGAGTTTCATTAGGTCCCATTTGTCTATTTTGGCTTTTGTTGCCAATGCTTTTGGTGTTTTGTTCATGAAGTCCTTGCCTACTCCTATGTCCTGGATAGTTTTGCCTAGATTTTCTTCCAGGGTTTTTATGGTGCCAGGTCTTATGCTTAAGTCTTTAATCCATCTGGAGTTAATTTTAGTGTAAGGTGTCAGGAAGGGGTCCAGTTTCTGCTTTCTGCACATGGCTAGCCAGTTTTCCCAACACCATTTGTTAAACATGGAATCCTTTCCCCATTGCTTGTTTTTGTCAGGTTTATCAAAGATTGTATAGTTGTATGTATGTTGTGTTGCCTCCGGTGCCTCTGTTTTGTTCCATTGGTCTATATCTCTGTTTTGGTACCAGTACCATGCTGTTTTGATTACTGTAGCCTTGTAGTATAGTTTTAAATCCGGTAGTGTGATGCCCCCCGCTGTGTTCTTTTGCTTAGAATTGACTTGGCTATGCGGGCTCTCTTTTGGTTCCATATGAAGTTCATGGTGGTTTTTTCCAGTTCTGTGAAGAAAGTCAATGGTAGCTTGATGGGGATAGCGTTGATTCTGTAAATTACTTTGGGCAGTATAGCCATTTTCACGATATTAATTCTTCCTAACCACGAACATGGAATGTTTCTCCATCTGTTTGTGTCCTCTCTGATTTTGTTGAGCAGTGGTTTGTAGTTCTCCTTGAAGAGGTCTCTTACGTTCCTTGTGAGTTGTATTCCAAGGTATTTTATTCTTTTTGTAGCAATT